TGGCCTGAAGGTTAAGGAGCCTGGAGTCTTTCCTTAAATAGACCACTAGTCACTGTGCAGACTCAGCTGGTCAAAGACTCCAGAGAGATACTGTGAAATTCACTTGTATTTCATGAGTTTTGATGCCATTAAGTAAACGGGCCTTTATGAGCCCAAAGATTCACCTCATGCCTTAGCCCTCTCCCATGTACAGGAAAGTACGAGAGTTTTAATTCCGCTGGCTTCACTTTGAAAATGTTGAGTGTTGCACTATGAATTCAAAGGGCATGGGCATATGAATTCAGGGCCACACTCATATCTGTCTATGCCTCATCCCTGAGAGGGCTCCTAATGGCTCACCAAAGATGGAATCTTAAACAGAAGTGACCCCAAGGGAGGGAGTAGAGAAGACTCGGAAACATAGAACTGTAGATTATGGGCCCCCCTCCTGTCCCTGTGAAAAATAGTAGTCGGTGAAAATGATCTTTGTGGTGACAATACCATTAGATGCTTCTTAAATGTGTATCCTCCCAGCATCACTTGCTGCTTGTAGAGGCAGTAGGACTTGAGTGTGATTAAGAAAGCCAGCCGTGTATTGACATTCCCCTTTCTACAATCTGTTCACTATTAGGGAATGTCTATGATTTTGGCAAGAAATGTTGATAAATGTTCAATTTGCATTTAGAATTGCTTTTTTAGGCACTTGGTGTAAGTAATTATAAACAAAGAAAATTTGTCTTTGTCTGAACGTTTTTGGTGAGTCCTGAAGGTATGAGCTCTTTGAGAAAAAGCACCAGGTTATTTCAAGGGTCACGCTTAGCTATTCCTACATCATTCAGAAGACCAGTCTCCCGGGTACAAGCCAGATGATAAGGATCTCTTTCTAGATCATAGAGGCAATAAGGCATTGTGACAGAGTGGTGGACTTAGGAATCAGGAAGACATGAATTCAAAGGCTGCCATGTATGACCATGAGCGAGGAAAGAGAGTTGGGTTTGGAATGAGAGGATCTGGGTTCAAATCCTGACTTTCCCATTTGCTGGCTGAGTGACCTGGGCAACCCACTTAACTTCTGGGCTTCAGCTTCCTCATTTGTTAAATAACAGCATTAGACCAGATGACCACTAAGGTCATTTCAGGTTCTAAGTCTGTGATCTTGTAAGTCTAACTCACTGAACCTCTCCTCATGTGCAAAATGAAGGTATGGAACCAGATGACCTCTGAGGTCCCTTTTAGCTTTAGGTCTGTGATTCTATAATCCCAAATCACTTAATCTCTCTGAGCTCAGTTTTCTCATCTATAAAATGGGTATAATACCACCTACCTTGGCTTGTTGTCATGAAACTGATGGTCCTCTTTGAAAATGAAGGATGAACAATAATATGAAACTCAATTGAGTTCATAGATGTAAAGTGTTATAAGGGCCAATGGTTATTATTTGCAGATCCAGAATATGCCAAAGGCTTTTAGTGATTTGACTTCTCTAGGGTTCACTTACTTTTATCCTAACTTCCTTTTCTGATGACATTAATTGCTAGGCGAATGCCATAGACAAAATATCTGGATTTCAGCAAGATATTTGACAAAGTCTCATAGTAGAATATGAAGAAACTAGGCTGAGTGAGAACATCCATGTGGCCTGTTGAAAAGTGAATCTGAAGAATGCCGATTAAGGGACTGTCCGCCTGGAAAGGTGGTCTTTAATAGGTATATTCACACACACATACACACACACACACACATACACACACACACATATCACATACACACACACACACACACACACTGTCCCTAGCCCTATACTATGCAACATTTTTATTGATGGAGAAAAACATCGAAGGTGAGTTTATCAACTTTGCTGAAGACATAAAGCTGAGAGGAGGTAACTAATACATTGGAGGACAGAACCTCAAGTTGAAAATACCTGGATGGACTGGTGTTATGGCCTGAAACCAAAAAAGTGAAACTTAATGGAGATCAATGTAAAGTGCTGTACGGGGGGGAGGAGGCAGTAAACTACAAAAATACAGTTTGAGTGAGACCTGGTTCAAACAGCATTTTGTGTGGCAAAGCCATAGAAGACTTACCTAACATTTACCCACACAGCATGAACCATAGTGATGCAGCTGTAAAAGATGCTAATGCCATTTTAAGCAGTATTAATAAAATATCCAGGAGAAGGAAGGTGATGGCTATGCTGTGCTCTGTCCTGGTCGGAGTACTTTAAGAGAACTGTGTGAGGGTTGGACACCATCCCAAAGGGGGCATTTATCAATTATAATGCATCCAGAAGAAGAAAAGAAGAAAATCAAGATAGTCAAGGATCTTGAAGCCATATTCTATGAAGAATGGTTAAAGGAACCTTATAATCAAGAAACTATGCAAGAGAGGTGGAGTAGGGGATGTCATTGGAGACGTGTGCCTAGGGTGAAAAAGAGGAGTTGAGAGCAAGGGATACATGATGGGCAGCCCAAGTCCTCCAATGGGATCTACATAATTTTGAGAGATGAAAGGATGACCTCCTGCATGTTGGATGGACCTTGCATAGGAAATTCATAAGAGCCATGGACAAGTGTCAGGCAAGATGAAGAGCCATGGAAGGACTACCCAAAGCAATGAGATGACAGATCCAACAGAGTGTTGAAGAGTTGATGGAACTGATTAACCTAGGAAAGAGAAGATTGTTTTTGCTGTCTTCAAATACCTAATGAGCTGGCACACAAAAAAGAGGTTACATTTAGTTTGTGTATCCTTAGAAAGCAGAACTAAGACCAGTGAATAGCTGTAACAAAAGGCGGCAGATTCCAAATGAATATAGGGGAAAATTTTTTTTACCAGAGATGTCCAACAATGAATGGTAGTGAGTTGCCTGTCAGTGAATGCTTTTAAAGCAGAGACTGAATATTCATTTGTCAGAGATGTTACAGAAAGGATTCCTTCACTGAGAGGCAGACCTCTAAGGTCCCTTGAAACTCTATGAAATTGGAGATAATAATACAGCACTGTCCAGACTGCCAACAACATTGAGAATTGACCTATGAGTAACCATAGATCCCTATATATCTTGCTGATACTTATGTCATATCATTATTTTTCAATTAGTAACCAAAAGTACAGGGTTTGCAAGGAAGGGAGAAGGAAGGAGAATTGTTTCGATTACAAGGAGTACATTTTTCTTTCCTCTAGTTACCATTCATCAGTATTACAGATTGACCATAAAAGCCTGGCTCGAATCAGAAGGGTCCTAGTCAAAGGAATAATGTTAACTATAGTTTACTGACATCATTTACCACATATCTCATTCCTGGCAGTCAGGAAGTGAACATTTTCACTCCTGGCCAAATTAGACCTAAAGAGAAGAAACACCCATTTTGAAAGCCCACTTTTCCATCTAGAAACAACTTGAAACCCTTCCAAACATAAGAGGCTCAACTCCTCCTTTCCTCCCTCCCTAAAGGAAAAAGGAGGGAGGATCCTGGGAAAATCCCAGGATTTTAAAGAGCAGGAGGAAGAGGGGAAAGGTGCTTTGAACTCCTAATATAGATTTACAATCATCAGTTGTGATTTCAAGTAACATTGACATCCTGTTTTTGCAATGGCTACTTTGAACAATCCCAACTGTAAATAACTTTTCCTTGTGTTTTTCTTTTGTATTTTTGCTTTTGTGTGAGCTTGTCATATATGAAACCCAAAGAAAAGGCCCTTGTCCCTCCTATTGGCTAACCATGTGTTTTAATGCAAGTCTGCAGTCTTTGTGGGCACTGGCTGCAATTCCTCTAAGGAGCCAATTTCCATTTCAAGTGATCATTCATAACAATATTAATGCAGAATAATAGATGCAGTTGTTTCTTGCATCCGATACCTAGACAACAGGAAAAAAAGGTCTGTCAGGCCAGAGCAGCTGAATATATTTGTTTCTTCCTTCTCGAGCATCATTTTGAATTCTGTGCCTCTACCTGTGCCCAGATTCTCAGGACACCTGCCTACCAACAAAATAAACGAGAAACTCATGTCAAGCAAGGTCATTCAGTGACTTCAGCCATCTAAGTTTCTGAAGAGGGGGTGGGGACGTACACATACATTTACTTGGCTTTGTCGCACATGTAAGCAGCTGAAGACTGCCTTGCAACTCATTCCTATGAAACCCTCAATAGTGTCTTTATTTTTAAATAACTAAGATGGATCCAGAGAGGTGGTTGTATCATCTCACCCCAGAGTTCAAGAGCTGGCCCATGCGTGCAAATATACCTCAGGCAAACACAATCTGAGACAAAATGACAGTTAAGACGCTCGAGGTTGGCAGAACAGTCTTGCCGTTTAGCCTACTGTTTCACACACAAAAGTTTCCCAAGTGGAGCAGAGGGCTGAGCTGGGTGTGTGTTGGCTCGGAGGGTGGGGTGGAGGGCAACTTCCCTCTCTCCTATGTTGCTCCTCCGGACTATAGAAGAGTAAATTACTTTTGCTGCCTGCTCCCCCAGCGACAGCCCCCCCCCTTCTCCCAGCTCCCCTTGTCCGATGTTGTCCTAAACATCCCTTTTTGGGATCTGAAGGTGCCTGTCTGGGGCGGGTATTTTTGAGTCGATGGGGAGAGAGAACGAGCTGGAAGAGTGGACTTTTTCTTATGGGCAGAATAAAACCTAGCTAGATCCTTCTCAGTCCAGCCCTCCACACCCATCCAGAACCGAGGAGATCGCGAAGAGGGCAGAGAGGCAGAGGGAGAAGGATTCTAGTAAGTACAGACAGGAAGCCCAGTTGAGAAGAGTGGAGGGTATTCCCACTTCCCCTGCCCCACAAATAGATACTAGGGACGGAAACTCTAGTTGGGGGTCCGGAATTGGTAGGGGGAGGAAGGAGAAGGGAGAAGGGGTGGTAGTTGGAAGAAAAATCTCCTCCTTCCCCGAGTCGGGTGCAAAGTGAACAGAGAAAGTTGCAGCGCAGCCTTCGGCCCCGGGGCTGGGTTACGCTGCAGGGAGTGGTGGGAAGAAGAGGAAGCAAGGCTGAAATGGGGGGCACTCCTTTACCTTATCTTTGGGGTCGAGGTTCTGCAACACCTCCTTGCCCGAAGCGCTGCGAATCTCCACCCCGCTGAGCGCTGGAGCCGGGGGATCTCGGCACTCCTCCCGGGCTTGGCTCCTCCGGGGGGTGTCCGGCTCAGCCGCCACCGGCCGGCTCCCCCCGCCGCCTGCGCTGCCTTGGCTGCTCCTCGGGGTCTTCGCCCCTCGCTGCCCTACGCTCAGGGCATCGAAATCCAGCGTCTTGCTCTCGAAGGCGCCCTCCACGTTGCAGAACATGCCCCCGTACTTCTGCCGGGGGATCTGGTCCGTGGTACCTGGCCTGGCCAGGTAGACCGGCAGATCATCCTCGCGGCTGTTGTCCCAGCCCCTCCTGCCCGATGCCATGGCTCCACTGGGGGTGGCGGGGTTCCCCGGGTAGCAGGAGACACTCTCCTCCCAAGAAGACGGAGAGGGGCAGCGGCCGGCGCGTGCGGGGAGCAGGAGCGACTGGAGCCGAAGTGAGACGAGGTTTATGAGGCTGCAAACCAGAGGTGGCAGTGCAGCCCCGATTTCTGCTCTAGTCCCATGACAAGAGCGAGGACCCAAAATAACAGCGCAACATGCGAAGGAGCCCTGCGCTGCACGCTCGGTCCCCCCTTTTCCCCGAGCTCACGTATGCCCGGGCTTTGCCTCGCATGCACACAGCGCTGCGACTTGTCTGTTCCCCGCTCTGCTGCCCCTCCCACTCCCCTCTCACACACAGGCTGCATCACATAATCCTGGGATTCCCATCTGGAAGGACTGTAGATTCATGGAGCTGGAAGAGAACCTTATGAGTGGTCACCTAGTCCAGCTCCCCATTTTGCAAAAAAGGAAACTGAGCCCCAGAGGAGGGAAATGACTAGCCCAAGGTCACACAGGTAGTGGATTCTTGCCTGTGGCCCCTAGCGAGTGCTTAATGGTTTTTACTAGCCAACTGACTGATTAAGCAGGACTCAAACGCAGGTTCAGTCTCCTCATTCCACAGACAGGAAAACTAAAGAAGGTTCAGGAGGGAAAATGAATCACTAGTCTGGGTTTGTATGGATAGTGAGTGTTAGAGCCAGCTGGTAATGGTGGAGAGAGAGCTGTGTTTGGAGTCAGGAAGACCCGATTTCAAATCAGGCCTCTGATACTTACAAGCTGTGTAACTCTCAGTTTCCTAATCCATAAAATGGTGGGATTGGAGTCAATTACCTTCAACGTCCCCTCTGGCTTGAAATCTATGATCCCATGATTCAAATCTCCAACCCACAATTCTTTCTACCTCATCATAAATTCAACACGTATGGGGGGGTATACATGTGCAGGCTCTGCCTTACATGGGAGAAAGCAGACACATAACCCTATGTTTTACCTTGTGTCCATATATTCCACAGCTGCAGACATTGCTATACATCTATACATACCCACAATAATTCTTCCAAATTTGTGCTCACTTGACAATTTCATTTCTAGTCCCCTACCTAGGTAACAATTGTAGACAAACACATTTCTTCACGCACACAAAGGTACATAGGCCTTTCTCAGTGGCCTTAACACTGCAGAGGCAGCCTTGGAGAGGAGCTAGTAACAGAGATTCTAGCCCTGCTACTGCAGAAGCCAGGGGACCACTCATCAGGGATTCCAGTTCACATATGAGTTGGACCAATACCCTTTAAAGTACCTTCCAGCTCTGAGAGGCTGTGCTTTGGGGACTCAGTGCGCAGTTTGACCCGTTGGCAGAGTAGGATGCTGGCACATTAGGAATGGTGCTGGGTGAAGGGGGATGGAAGCTGGCCAGACCTTGGCAACTGGGAACAAAGATGGAACTCCTCATGGTGATGCTTGTCATGTACAAAGGGAGTACCCAGTGAAGAGGAGGGCAGCTGCAAATGATTAAGCTTTATCCAAACTGCATGTGACTTGTTGGCCCTCAGGCTACCGGTAGTTTGCCAGGATAGCCTTTGCAAAGTTGCCCTCTTGACAAGAGTTTGGTACTGAACCCAGCAGACATTTCATTTTGGAAATTTGTGACATGGGACATGCCCTAATATTGCTCTTGGGTTGGGACAGCTGTCCCACAACTAATCCAGGGAGGGCAACATGAAAAAAGGGACATTACTTTTCACAAACAAAGACTACAGCAGTAAAGATAGAGGGGAGAAAGAGGCATAATAGGAAACGGATTTGATGTTTGGATTTAAGGGGACCAGGGTTCAAATCCTGACTCAGCCACTTAATTCCTAAATGGCTTTGGGCAAGCCTTTTATTCTTTTTAGGCCCAAATTTCTCTAACCATCCCAACTCCTTATTTTCTTTGAGGTTAAGGATTGCCATATGCCTAATTTTGCTCAGCTGTAAAATTAAGGAATTCGATTAATTGTGCTTATTATTAGAAGTCTAGCAGAAAGAGTCTTAGACCAGAAGCCACAAGTGCTGACTTTCAATCACAGCTTTGTCACTTAATGGCCGTGTGACCAGGAGCAAATCGCTTGACTGTCTCCCAAACTCTTCTTTAGTGAAAATATTAACTTGCCTTACCTACCTCTCAGATTTACTGTGAAGATCACAGGATTTAAATCAGAATGGGACCATGGACATCCAACACTCATTTTACAGGTGGGGAAACTGAGGCCCAGAGAGGTGAAGTGACCAAGAACAAATAAAATCATAGCTGTGGAAGCATGAAAGCTCTATCTAAAGGTTATTACTGAAATGACTTTAAACTCCCACGTTGGCTCATTTTGTCCAAGTCAACCAATCTTGCTGAAAGATGTGCCACCAAAGTGGCATGAAACTGACTTTTTCAGAATCAGCAGCCTCTCTCCACGGTACAGCCAATTTATGAAATCTGTGTGATTCAGTGTCTGATGATGACAAGCCCAATAGGAGCAGAGAGTTCTTGAATATTGTTAATCAGACCTCTCAACTGTTCCACAATCAGCCAGGGAAATTGAAGTTGAAATAAATGGTATGAGATTGCTATGGACTGAAAAATACCAAATGCGTATTTTTTCACAAAGGTTAGCGTCAGGTTTGTTACATGCAAAACCCAGTTTGTATCTCATGTGACTCTGCAGTGAAAGACAAGTCTTTCCATATTAAGATGACTTGAGCCATGTGCTTACAGTGTATTGAATTAAAGCTGTGTGAGGATGCTTTTGCCAAGGTCTCTTGCATTGCATACAGCTCAGCTGAATGTAGTTGCTCTCTTGAGAATACACACAGGCATGTGTCAAGCCACCCTCATTCTGAGGTAGCTGTACAGAGGGTATGCCTTGCGGAAGCAAATTGTGATGCACACTTGTAAAACTAAAAACCATGGAGGACAAAAACTCCAACAGACTCAGAGGTCAAAATAAGAAACAAGATGAGAAATCCCCCAAGTAATCTAGGCTGAGCAAACAGCTAATTTGGATTAATCTGAGAGCACCCATTTTCCCTTCCTCCTTTCGGCTGAGAGGTGAGGGTCTGCTCTGATAAAAGTGTTGCATCTGTTTTCAGACTCAGTCACTGTGTTGGTGGGTTTTGCTTCATTCTTCTTTTCTTTCTTTTTTCTTTTTTTTACAACTCACAGCTGTGTGCTATTTAACAATGAACTCTCAAAAAAATGTGTGTAACACACACTTTTAAAGGTTAGTCACCATTATTAACATTTATTAACATTTTCTCCACCTCTTTAAGTCTAAACAATCAACAATACAATAAATCAACAATTAATCAATTTATAGCATTAGTCAATTTCTGAGGTATAGATACTAACTCAGAAATTTTAACAATTGGCTTTCTAGAGCCCAATATAAGTGGGCTATAGTTATACCTCCCTTACAAGAGAAGGTTTAATTGAACGTGGGGGGAGCGAAAGAAGAAAGAGGCAGACCTATCTACAAGAATACTATGATGAGGACAAGGAGAGGGAGATCGAGAAGGAGAGGAAGAGAAAGAAAAAGAGGTAGAGAGAGGGAGGGGGAGGAGAAAGGAAGAAAACTTTTTTAAATTAAAGGAATAGGGTCTGAACCATCTTATCATAGCCTCTACTCTCTACCTCATTTTGCCAGTATTGAGGAGGTGGGAGGAACTTCAGGCTTTGCTTTGCAAGGACTGGGCTTATTCCCCAAAGTCAGTTCTTAAATGATCATTAAATCACACAAAGTTTTTGACAATGAGCTCAGTTCTACTACACTTAGAAGGACATATAAATTCAGTTCTGCAGGATTATGTGGAGCCAATCACCTCTCTCACTAAATGAACCTAAGTTTTTGAGAATAAGGTATGTATGAAAGATATGGGAAAAACGAGGACAATCCTTTGTAGTTGATATACTGTCAGAAATCATAGAAAGTGGTTTCTAAATGTGGCTATAGTATCAGTTCTAGAAAAAACACATTGGCAATGCCTCTCCCTCCCTCCTTTGCAAAGTTGGGGACTATGGGTATGGAACACAGCATATGTTCCATATGCCAGACTCAGTTGATATTTTAGTTATTTCTGCTGAACTGTTTTTTCCCCGCTCTGTCTTTAAAATATTTATTACTAGGGGTGGCTCATTAAGAAGAGGAGGGAGGACGCATATATTTGAAAATTAAGGTGATTGTAAAACCAAATTGTTGTTAATTATTATTAAGAATTATAATTGCATTTACAAAGCATATTTATATTTATGGATGCTTTGACAACAACAAATAGATGTTAAGTGTCTATATGTATAAGGCATTATGGTACTCACTGGGAACAGTAATAGTCATCATTTGTATAGCACCTACTATGTGGCAGGTACCATGCTAAGCACTTTACAAATATTATCTCATTTGATCTTTACAACATCCTTAAGAGACGGGTAGGATTATTATCCCCCTTTTCTAGCCAAGGAAACTGAGGCAAACAGAGATTAAATGACTTGCCCAAGGTCACAGCTAGTTAAGTGTCTAAGGCCATAGCTGAACTTGGGTCTTCTAGACTCCAGGCCCAGTGCACCACCTGGCCGCCAAATAAAGCCAAAACAGCCTTTGCCCTCAAGAAGCTTAGATTCTACTGGGGACTAATTACATGTACCAAGATAATGTAGCACCAAGTATGTTACAGAATCACATGAAGTAATTTCAGGAGGGAGAGAGGATTAATACAACAATAATCAGAAAAGGCCTTTTGCAGAGATGGCACTTAGCTGTCTTAAAAGGAGTAAGGAATGAACCCAATTGTTTTCTTCCTATAGAATCACTTGGTTTCCTCCATGCTTGGAATTTTCTCCCGCCTTATCTCTGCCTCCAGGCTTCCTTCAAGTTCTAGCTAAAATCCCATCTTCTACAGGAAGCCTTTCCCAATCCCTCTTAATACTGGTGCCTTCCCTCTGTTGATTAGCTCCAATTTATCCCATCTGTAGCTTATTTACACACAGCTGTTAGCATGTTGTCACCTGCATTAGACTGTGGACTCCCTGAGAACAAGGGCTATCTTTAGCCTTTTTTTGTGTGTCCCCATCAGTTATCACAGTCCCTGAAACATAGTAGGTCCTTAATAAATGTTTATTGACCGACTATCTGAAGAAAGCCAGATTGAGCTCTCAACATTTCTCCTACAAAGAAACTAAACAATTGTTGGGATAAGAAAGGATAAACATGAATAAGGGGGAAAGACAGGGACTTAGAAA